ATTCAATAGGATATTCTTTGTGCTGTATGTTGGAATATAATTAAAAGTTTTTAAAATTATGAACAATGCAGAAGGAATAGGCAAAGAGATGTTAGGTCACCCGATGAAATAATTTAACAATAGATTTCAGACACACAAAAGAAACTACTACTTCACACAAAACAGAATTCACAACCACAAAGTGTAATGATGGCAAGTTGCTTGTTTATTATTATTATTATTATTATTATTTAAGGATTAAGGCCCTAGTGGTGCAGCAATAAAACTGCCAGCACATTTGCGAAGCTAAGCAGGATCTGGTAAGGTTTCAAATTGGATGGGGAACTGTGTGTGAAGAATCCTGCATTGCAGGGAGTTGGACTGGACAATCTTTGAGAGTCCTTTCTACTCTATGATTCTTGATTTGGCAGTGTCATGGAGATTAGGCCTAATCAGGGACCATTAGCCCTGATACCTAAATGAAGCTTCCATGTATAGAGGCAATTTTTCATAGAATACCAGAGGCCCAGTGAGGGGCAACAGGAGAAGGCAACCTCTCTCCTGCCTTGTTTCTGAACTCCCAAAGGAATTTGGTTGAATGCAGGATGCATAAGTCTAGACCAGATGAGCCTTTGGTCTAATCTCTCAAGGCAATTCCAAGGTTCCTATATATAGGCATGATTTTTTTTAATAAAAAAAAAAAAGATCAGTGTGTTTGGGTATTAATCCAGCACCTCAGCAGCAGATGGATTTGTTCTTTCTCACCTTATACATTCAAGCTGGAGTGTCAACAGTTCTGTTTTTAGAAGCCAAGAACTAAGTTGCAAAGATTCCTGCTGGATGCCATGCCAAAGAAGAAGGGCATTCGGTTTCCGTGCTCTCTGAATCTCCAGCACAGCTATGAGGAAGCAGGAAAGGCTAGCAGCGAACTTCTGAGCATTAAAAATAAGCCGACATTCAGGGGGTGAAACATTAAAGCCCGGCCACAATGTCGCCACACAGTTCATCGGCAAGCGAAAAGCATCTGCCTACAGGCATCCAAAGAATCTCACAAACGATATTGACATTTTTAACATCAAGTCCAAAGAGCTGGAGCTAAGCCAAAGGAAGCCTTGGCCTCCACAATCCAAATGTACCTCCGTCATGACAGAACATACTCAAGTATTTGTATGTTGTAGGGCTTTTAAAATAAAGCTTCTTGATATTTCGAACGAAGGTCAGACAAATACTTTCCAAGATGCTGCAGAGATCCTGTGCAGATCCCATTCATTTCAAGAGGGTTTACACAAGAGAATTTGCAAGGTTGAATTGTGACCTTAAAACACTTCAGTTGATTCATAGGAAGAAAACAAATTTAATGGGTGAGGTCAAATTTTAATAGGTGTAAAATAAAATAAAAAGATTAACGTATTTTACAGGGAGACTGCTGAAGATTAAGTTCTAAAAATATGTGTTGTGTTATTCAGACATCAGCTAGCACACTTCCTTTGATACCTCAGGAAGGTACCTTGATTCAGCAGAAGGAGGGGACTGCCGCCATTTTCTATTTCTGTTGCTTGCATAGGAATATCAGCTGTCAATAGCAAGATGGTGTCCACTTTCTGTCAGATAGCACACGCATATCATCATCATCATCATCATCATCATCATCATCATCAATGTGTATGCCAGCCTTCACCTGAATATCACAGGACAGTTCACAATACAAAAATACAAAACGAAAACGCAAAATATATAATAAAACAAGAACAAAACAAAACAAACACCCCCCACAAAAAAACCCACATTTAAAAGGTCATAGAATGTTAAATCAGCCAAAGGCCTGGTTTTTGCCTGGTGCCTGAATATATGTAATGAGTATTTTGTAATACTGATGTAATACTTGGAGGTACATCCCATTTATTGTTCTGTTGGGGTACTTTACGAGGATGGACTATTTTCCTGTTTTACTTTGTGGTGAAACTTGAACAGCACTGAGTACTGTTCCCCCTGCCCAATACAAAATATTCAGCCCCTGTGACAAGCAGCATGCCAGCTTACCACTGCCCAAGAGGGATGGGTTCTCCTGAGCTGCTGGGCTTGAACATTCCCAACATGGGCAGAGAGTTGCTAGAGATCCCATGAAGAAGAAGAAGAAGAGTTTGGATTTGATATCCCGCTTTATCACTACCCGGAGTCTCAAAGTGGCTAACATTCTCCTTTCCCTTCCTCCCCCACAACAAACACTCTGTGAGGTGAGTGGGGCTGAGAGACTTCAGAGAAGTGTGACTAGCCCAAGGTCACCCAGCAGCTGCATGTGGAGGAGCGGGGAAGCGAACCCGGTTCCCCAGATTACGAGACTACCGCTCTTAACCACTACACCACACTGGCTCTCACATGAATGCCTGATCAATGCACACGTTCTGCTTGCAGCAGTGTAGCTCCCACCGTAGGCTTGCAAGTGAAGAAAAGACGAATGTTGAGCAAAATCAGCTGAACCAAAATGCGGTTACATCAGTCCTGATGCTTGGTATCTTATATCTATATAAAAGGCGTATGATGTAACTGGAAGATGATGATCCAGGGCTATTGCTTTCCTTTGGCTGAATATCAGCATTGTCTATCGCAAGCAATACCATGTGAGCCTGCAGAGGGGGGAGTCCCAACAGCCCAATTCAAGCAATTCATTGAAGTGGAAACATTAAGGAGCAAATGGAAAGCAGAGATCAATGGCTCCCAGTGGCAATGTCGCCAATTATGATTTTTTAAATATAGAATTAGAATGAACTTGCCATTCTGGCTTGCTCATTATGGTTATATCATGTCATGTTATGAAAAACATATTCTTCTCGTGTATAGGAAACAAATGAACCACTCTGACTTTTGAAATAGAGCACATATGAATGGTGAGTAGATTAGTGCCAGGAATGCATCCCAAACTAGGATTTTAAGGAGTCATCTGGCAGCTGCTAATATGTAGTAAAATAATGAATGTCATCATGAGCTCTGTAGTGATGTTAGGAAGTCTTAGTTAGACAAACTTTGGTCAAGCTGAGGAAAAGCATTGTGGGAGAACCAAAGGCCAAAGGATTTATGGGAAATGTGTATCTGTTACTTTACAGTAACAGTCTTTACAGTCGTCATCCTCTCTACATCCATATGCACGTTCTTTGTGATGTAGAAGTCCTGTTGTCTTCTTGAGATGCGGATTCAGTCGAGAACTTTATGACCTGTCCTAAGTTTCTTTGTGTTCTCGTTTGTAAGTATGTTTAGGCAGCTATACTGAACAATGTTTTTATTTTCTTGTTTGAACCCTGTAAGTGATGTGCCTACTTTTAAGTATGATTAATTTTGTTTCAAAACAGCTGAAACTTTGGCTTCCAAGAACTCTCCCTTGTACACTTGATGTCCAGTATTCTCTGGCTTCTCTCCTTTCCAGTGGAGAGGCGACTACAACCTTCCTCCCCCAGCCATCAACATTAGAGGGTTAGGTAAAGGTAAAGGCACCCCTGACCATTAGGTCCAGTCGTGGCCGACTCTGGGGTTGCAGTGCTCATCTTGCTTTATTGGCCGAGGGAGCTGGCGTACAGCTTCCGGGTCATGTGGCCAGCATAACTAAGCCGCTTCTGGCGAACCAGAGCAGCACACGGAAACGCCGTTTACCTTCTCACTGGAGTGGTACCTATTTATCTACTTGCAATTTGACATGCTTTCGAACTGCTAGGTTGGCAGGAGCAGGGACCGAGCAATGGGAGCTCACCCCGTCACGGGGATTCGAATCGCTGACCTTCTGATTGGCAAGTCCTAGGCTCTGTGGTTTAACCCACAGCCCCACCCTATTAGAGGGTTAAACCTGGTATAAAACTGAGAAAACAAACATGAGTAAATCCATAAGTCCATTAACATTAGTACAGGATGATATAATCCCTTCCTAAAACACTTTATGTTTGTAACACATCCACCAAATGTGAAAGAAGTCTGCTCTGTTTTTAACACAGTACCAGCAGTTACTATTTCCAAATTTATAGATCATATCTAATTTCAGACATGTTAAATGCCATTGCCATTTTTGCACGGTCCTCTCTTAAACCTCAGTAAAACCAAGTTCCAAGCCTGAAAAGGAAATACCAAACCTCTAGAGAACTTTCCCTTTCTAAATCCTTTCCCCTGTTTTCGTTAATAACATTTTGCACCTGCAATATTACTGTGTAATATATTTTAAGGGAAATATTTTTGCATGGATTCAGAATCATTCCCCCCCCCCCCTCAAATCAGTCAGATTCCTGAGAAGTTAGTCAGAATTCCTAAAAAGTGAACTTACTGTATGTATACAGGAAAATTCCTCATTTGGAGATACTGAAATCAGGTGAGCTGAAATTGTGTAGCTCATTGACTTAATTCTTGGTAGAAGTGAATATAGTTTTTTTTTTATTATTTTAAAAAGTCTAGATAACAGTCTATTTTATGCTTTCCCCATAAATGAACAATTCCAGCTTTTCTGTACGGATTGGAGTCTGGATCTCTAAGAACTTAAGCAAGTGAGGAGATTCACTTTCAATCTTTCTGTGTAATTGTCCCATGTGGGCAATAATGTATTCATAATAACATTTTGAAACTTTGATATATTTGTATATTCTTCTTTGTTATTAACATGATGGAACACAAAGGAATTTTACAGGAGACTTATTCAATATTTTCAGTTGGTGGGTTGCCTCAACGTTTTCACCAATCATTCATTTTACCAGACAAGTTTATCAAGTAAAAGAAGCAATTTCCACATTCTCCATGGTTTACTGTTACGCCGGTGTGCAGCCGTTAGCTTATCTAAGGTCACTTAGTAAGCCCATGACAGAGACGAGATTCAAATGATTCGTAGTAGCTCAGTCTGATAAGCATAAGGCTTATCAGCTCTATGCTATGGTTATAGCATAGAAAGAAAGTCACCAATCTTTCCCATGAGAATCTATGCGACCAGAACATTCCTCACCTGTTTGTGATGTACAATGTGACAATTCTTTCCACTGACCTCATTAAATCTGAACATTGTGAGTGTGCTTCTGGAAGCTAGGACTTCACATCTGCCGGCTCAGAGTAAATGTCCAAAGTTCAGCATATTGCTAATCAATATCATTTACGAAAAGTCTCCAAATGTTACCGGGACAGGAAGAGCAAGGAAAAGAAGGAGCAAGAAAAGCACAAGAAGGCTGAAAAAGTGGCAGGTTTTATGTTGGCCACCATTCCTTCCATGCCCCTTAGAACAAGGAATTTTGGGGAATCTAGAAATGGCAGTTGCCAGCCAGAGCTTTGAAGAGCTTCCGTAAGTTTCTGCACTCATGAAAATTGGGCACCCCACTTCTAAAAAGATGAAGGAGAGGAGACGGTTTCAGTCTCCCTTTTGCTGCTGATCCCCTTCCACAAATTCGGGGGGATGTTTGAATTTTTCAAAGTATAAACTTTAGAGTTGGGAAGAAGCTAGAAATGTGTTGTGTGGAAAAGAGCTTGATGGTTTGGTTTGGTTTGGTTTGGTTTGGTTTGGTTTGGTTTGGTTTGGTTTCCTTCTTCGTGACATTTGCCTCATTCTCGGTGAGAAGGAAAAAGGGAACCCTGAAACTTCAAAGTCGAACCTCAGACCTGGCAAAGTTTGGGGAATCCATTATGGACTGGAACCATGAGCCATTTGTGGGGAGACTGTGAAGCTGGATTCCCCACACCCCACCTTTTATCAAGGGCAATGCAGAGGCAACTCTGTTTTCTCTCAGCAGAATCTGGAAAGGTTGGGTCACTCACCCAATGGCCTGTTTTCTAGCGCTCCACTGCAAGCTACTGGTAAGATGGGAAATGTCACCAAGTTGCCTAACAATGCAGGGGTGTCTCTCTCTCTTTTGTGTTCATCTGTTGTGAGCCACAACAATAGGAAGTGTTACCTGGTTGCCTAAGTAATGGGTGCATGCCTCTATTTTCTGGCTCACAACATAGCATGAGAAGGTAGTCACGCAACATTTTATAACCTGAAATCTTCCAAAAATTTGTGCCTAAGCATGACCGAGGTGATACTTTGGGCTCAGCACTAGTTTATATCCCTACTTAGCCATGAAGTGGTGCTAATACAATTACTGCCTCTCATCTTTATTTATTCAAAGGGCAAATATTTGGGGATCATTGCTAATTCCACTTGTCCACAAATGAAGCATCAGAATAGAAATAACTAGATTACCATCATAAAATATATTCAGCTCTGTACTGAGGTCAGTTAAACACACATATTAAGAACAGCACCTTCAGATTCTTTTCACCTCTAATGGTTAAAAACTTTCCACTGCCTAACAATCCAAATTTGCAGATATCCAAATTGTGGATACTAATTCCTGTATCCACAAGCAACCTTAAATCTAAATGCCTTCGGTTATGTATACAGTGGTCTATGTTTGCCTGAGCTTGAGTATGGACTAGGATCCTAAGCCCTGTATTTTGATCTGATACATGCCATCCATTCACATAGTATTGTCAGGATTTGGGCTACTGGCATTGGCTCTTAAGCTCTGGGTTACGATTTGCAGCTTGGGGGTTTAGACAGCCAATCACGTTGAGAGTGAGAGTGGCCCAGGCCTTCAGAAATACTTATAAGCAGTTGCTTTGCCCTGTTGGACTGTCCTGTTCTGTTAGCCATTGGCTCACAGAAGTCTCTTGCTGTTATCACTGTGTCTCGCCTCGTAGAAACTCACATACGCTTCACCTTTCTCAATTGGGTTAGTTGTAGTGCTACAGGACATGGTACAAGCAGCACATCTGGAGAAAATGGCTTTTGGCCAGACATTTCCAATCCATCTTAAGTGGCAGTGACTACACACTCCCACCTCCAATATTACAGTTTAATGAAATATGGTTCCATGCCAAAAGTCCTAATTTGCTGGCGGGTGCCAAGGAACATTTAAAACTGTATGTTCAGAAATAACATTATGTTATGTAAGGTGCAGTATGCATTTCTTTCGGCTGCTTCTTGAGCCAGACCAGCAGGAAAGGGGAACTTTAGTCTATTGGTTTCAAAATTCTTCTGTAGCCCAATAGTCATATGAAGTCATAGGTCAAAATAACAGAGCTTTAAACAGGAGCCACGGGGAACAGAAGTGGCCAGTAGCCCCAGATGTTGGCCCAACCAAGCCATTAGGCAAATGTGACATTTGTCTTGACGAAATATCAGCGGCAGTGCTGAACAGTCATCTGTAGCCCACCCATTTTATTTCTTCATCTGCAACAAAGCCAGCCATTTTTCTTACTCCAGGGTAGGAGGTAGAGGTTAAGGAGTGGCAGAGAGGACAACTGAGATAGAAAGTTAAAGGTTTTATTGGACTTTTATTTTTAGCAGAGCTTATCAGTGCATTATCCATCCCTTAATAATACCCCACTAAAAATAAATGTCTACTAAATGTCTATGATATTCTATTGGAACTGAAGGGAAATGACAGTACATATAAGAGAAAGCGGGAACATCTTTCAGAAAGGACCTTGGCCACAGACGAATGAGCATTTATTTGCAGAAATTGTCCTCCAGGACAATTCACAAGGGCAGGGGTACCATCTCCTGGGGGCTAAGCTCTTTTAGGACCCCCAATAATTTGGGGGGCACGTGCCCCTCTCATGACAACAGCATCAGAGGAGGAGGAGCTGCCAGCCATTGAAGACATGCTGGCACCACATTCGGTTCTGACTCATCCCGACATCATGGCAGAACATCTCTCTCTCTCTCTCTCTCTCTCTCTCTCTCTCTCACACACACACACACACACACACACACTGTGTGCAATGCTGCCCCCAATCTTCAGCACAAGTTGGCATGCCTGCACCAGGACTTGCAGCCGAACCCTCTTCTGGAGCATCTAAGGGGAAGAGGAGGAGGAGGAGTCACAAGAAGGATTCTCACTCTCAGGGTAAGATTTCTAAGACTTTTGCCCGAGTGCAAGAGTCCTCCTTGCCTGAGATGTTCCAAACAAGTCAGGCTACTGGCTTGAGCAGATCACGATAGAATCAGTTGTTGTTGTTTTCTAGAAAAAGAGGAGCTGGAACTCACCATGAATACCTCCCTTGTTCTCTTATTACGGCAATGGAGCCCATCTGACAGGTGTTGGAACTGAGTTCTGGATGGGGAAAAAAGCCCTGGCTAGAATCATTTTGCCAATGGAGCCTGTGGCTACAGTGTTATATTCCTTGGAGGGTCCAGCAAAACTGGAAATGGATTAGTATTTGTTGAATTTGTCCTGCTGAGCTCCTTCGTCTCATAGCGGAACTTGACACATCTGGACATAGGGAGGATACTCGTGATTTCAGCCATTTCAAAAGAAGCTTGGTACGCATAGGGCACCCAGAGCGGCAGCTGAAGATGGCTGGAGTCCAGGCCGTAGCATAGGAAGATCAGGAGCAAGCAGAGGAAACACTGTTGGACAAAGCCATGCTTCCATCCATCCTTACTGTACCTATATAAAGGAGCTTCCTTCTAGAGTTGTCAGGTGTCGATTATGGCTCAACTGTTTAGATTTGATTGAATGAGACAAGGATAACACCTTGGAATACATCACTCTGCAGTGTTGAGTCTCACTATCTAGTCCTGTTCTATAGGTCATAAGGCTCAACATGAACCAGGATCAGGTTCAGCTTCCACCCATATGCTATGTCTTCCTTGGAGGAGAGGAAAACAATTGACTTGGGGACTCTGTTTCGGTGAGAGTGAAACCTACCCTTCAAGCTCGATGCTTAGTGGCCTAAATTTGACCATTGGGAACCGCATAGTTGGTTGCACTGTGTTTCCATGTGCAGAGCACACAGTCGTACTGCAACACTTATGGGCTTCGTTTTTACCCATCAAGACAGCAGGCATTTTTGCTAATGTTCAGTGCAAAAGAAATAAGAGTGGTGTTTCTTATGGTGGTAGGGTCACCAATGTACAGACATGTCTCAAAGATGCTGAAACACTGGACGTTGGCAGTTTTGCAAACAGAAGGAGGAAGCCAAAGATGAACCCAGCTTGAAAGTTTGTGTAATGGAAGATACCAGAGTATCTCCTCTGGTGGGGAAGTGAGTGGACTGTGAGAGGAAGTATAAGGTATGGAGGCAAATGTTGGTGAGGTAGAAATATGGGGTTGGACAGAAGAGGGGAATTCAGGGTTGGAGCAAGATTCCTCTAGACTCCAGGCCCTAGTTCCTAGTGACAGAAGTTATACAATTCATGAAAGTCCTTGTGTACCAGGAAGTTAATAAATACATCTAAAGAATTGTTCTTCACCATGTGAGAAAAGTGTCTGTGTGGGGAAGGGAGTGAATGGGGAAATTGCAAAAGCCAATCTCATAATAAACATTTTCTGTCTCGAAAGCCAAGCTTCAGAGTAAGTATTTCTAGAAAAGCAAGTACTAACACTGCACTTTTAGGTGTCAGTAAATTCATTATTGCATTAACTAGGCCTAAATTATTAAACCTTAATGATGTGGGTTCTCCGAATGTGCTGGGCTTCATTTCCCCACACAGAATCAATGTTAAACATTACAGTATAAATTAAGTAATACTTTACCCTGGCATACTGCTGCTTTGAATCGAGTTAGCCCAGGAAGATGTATATATTTGCGACTACAGGCTCTCTCTGGCCTCCTAGCAAGGATGGTATAGTTTATTGTAACAAATGATCACCAGACCCGTAATGACTTAAATGATGCATCCATTTTTGCCAGGGAAAATGTACGAGCGACGACGCTGCGCCGCTTACGGCGATGAGGAGCAAACAGAGATCTCATACTATAAACATAATTTCCATGGAAGCCTGGGGGGCCATCTCCCTTTACAGGGTTTAAAAGCATGACGCATATCACAAAACATTTTAGGGCGGTTAAATTAATAGAACATAGATTCAGGCAAAAATTTGAAAAGGATAATTTTAACCGGATTTGGGCTTTAATCCTCTTTACATTTTAAAGAGAATTCTGAACGGCACAAAAGAGAGACTGAGGAGGCCGTGGAATAGCTCCCTCTGTAGTCATGTGAGGGCCGTACCGGAGAGCAACCTTTTGCACAGCAACCTCATCATTACCCAATAACTTTGTATTTTAGTTCTCTGCCAGAAAGAGGTCCACCCTGCAGTGGGAATGTGCATGGGGAAATGGCTCAGTGGGGGAAAACACCTGCCCCTACCTAACCATTGAAGTGTATTTATAGAAATAGAGCAGGCCCAGACACGTCCACTCAGAAGTAAGTCCCGCTGAATTCAGTGGGGCTTCCCCCCAAGCAAAGGGATATGGTGAGCAACCCACAGGCTAATTTAGGTCTCCCCATTTGGCCCACAAGGCCATTTTGACCAAGCCAGGTCTACCCATCCAACACCTGCTCTCATATTTGATGCCAGGTGTTGAGGTGGGTAAGGACGTGGCTTGAGCTGAAAGGGGGCTTGCAGGAACTGCCTCCCACCTGCCACAACCTGTGCACTTGGCTCCAATGATCAGCTGATCTGCAGAGAAGAAGAAGAAGAGGAGGAGAAGGAGGAGTTTGGACTTGATATCCCACCTTTCAATCCCCTTAAGGAGTCTCAAAATGGCTAACAATCTCCTTTCCCTTCCTCCCCCACAACAAACACTCTGTAAGGTGAGTGAGGCTGAGAGACTTCAGAGAAGTGTGACTGGCCCAAGGTCACTCAGCAGCTGCATGTGGAGGAGCAAGGAAGCGAACCCAGTTTACCAGATTATGAGTCTACCGCTATTAACCACTACACCATGCTGGCTCCCATGTTGGTTTTCTGCCACTTACATTTGTTTAGAATCTCCTGAACTGTTTTGTTTGTTTTTTTAAATTTTGCAAGGGACTTGGATTTTCTTATTTATAGCTTGTGGAACCAGCTGCACTGGGCGTTGGACAACCCGACCATCAGCTCTTTGTTGGGCTTGCAGAGTGCTATGCAAGGGCTGTGCCGGCACCTGATTTTGGGTGGTTCCCTCATACAGGGCCAAGGGGATGCAAAATCGAGATGATCCATAATTGAGAATATCCATTTGGGGGCACCCAATTTTGGCCTTGCGCAGGGCACCATTTTACAAAAGATTACCAAAGTCCACCTTTGCCTACATGGTTTAAGTTCAAGCCATGCAGGCAAAAATGGGTCACTTGGCATCGGGTTATTGACAGGTGGGCAGCCCCACCCACTTGTCAAACTTGGCCCATGAGGGGCGGGGGAGATAACAATTGGGCCCACTGGCCAGGTCCAATTCCTCACTCTTGATATAGGGCATCAGCCTTGTTGAGATCACTGGTCCAACTTTCTGTCCTGATTGAAAGCAGCTGTCCAAGTTTGTGGTCCCACATCTTTTCCAGCCCTTGTAGTACTCAACATCATTTTTTCACTGGCAATGCCAGGTTCTGAAGCTAGCAGCTTCTGTATGCAACGCATGCACCTTACCAGTGAGCAATGGAAATCCACTGGAAATTTAAAAAAAGCTTTCCTTTCTTGTTCTCCACTGGCTTTGCCTGTTACTCACTCAAAGGGTAGTTGACGTTTGCTTATCTCGCTCTTCCATGTGAATTATAAACGACTGGTTTGCCTTGAATCCAAATCGTTTGTATATGGGTAACAGCAGGACACGCCAGATGTCTTCAGACTTAACAATTATTTTTTAAAACTTATAGAACACAGGCTAACAATTTTAACTCATAAGAGGAACATAAACATTAACTGAATAATGGCTTGATTGCTGCTTATCTTGGCCAGAATTGCTCAGGACTTTTGAGGGCTTAGCAGACCCAAGGTCTTTCTCACGTATTGCATCCAAAAGTGAAATCATTCACTTCTTTTCCTCTCACATGATCTGCTAAGCTGAAGCCTTCTGAGCTTGCCTCTCTAAGACATTTTATCACATGTGGTGGTCATGTTTTAAGGTAAAAGACTTCTGGGAAATGATTTATAATGAATTAAAGAAAATGTTTAAAAATACATTTGCTAAGAAACCAGAAGCCTTTCTTTTAGGTTTGATAGGTGAAGAAATACCAAGAGAAGATAAAAGACTTTTTATGTATGCAACGACGGCGGCAAGAGTGTTACTAGCCCAAAAATGGAAAGAAGAAGAATTACCAACAAAGGAAGAATGGCAGACAAAACTGATGGAATATGTGGAAATGATGAAGCTGACGGGGAAGATTAGAAACCAAGAGGATCAAGTATTTGTTAGAGACTGGAGTACATTTGTAGTTTATTTTAAAAAAACACTGTAAACAGTTAAAATCATTGGTAGCATTGTAATGACATTTTTAATGTGAAATTGGTTATGTTAATTGGGGATATACAATAGTTGGATAAAGCACAGGATGCAGAAAAATTAAAGTTTTAATATATGAACCCATGGGAGGGGGGGAGGAAGTCTGAAGGTTCAGAGAACAATGTAATTTGATGTTTGAATTGGTGAGAGATAAAGTGTATAAAAATGTGAAAACCTAATATATATAGATTTTTAACTTTCCTATACAGGGCTGCCTTCAGATGTCTTCTAAAGGTTGTATTGTTACTTATCTCCTGGGCTGGGGGGGGGGTCACATAACTCTATACCCTCCATCATTTCTCCAGTGAAAATAAGGACATTCTGGGATCAAATCAGAAACTGGGACGGCTTCTGTAAATCTGGGAGTGTCTCTGGAAAATAGGTACACTTGGGAAGTCTGAGATTTGAGGAGGCCTTCAGCAAAGTACTGAGTCCTAGGCAAGTCTAAGGCATTTTGCTGCCTAAGATGGAACAGGAAATTGCCCCTTCCACCCCAAGTCAAGGAATGTAGTATATAAGGCTACCTTTTTTTCTTTTTTTTGACAACTTAGATGGAAAAATTGTGAGTAAATACACACCATAACAATAAATTAAGAAATTGCCCATTTGCTCCCCATTCATGACACCCAAATTTAACTGCCTAATGGTAGGAGAACATTCTTTCATTGATGGATCATCTCAGGTTTACTTGGCAGTGGTGGCAGTTCCAAGGTTGGCAGCTGCCATTTTTAATTTCCCACAATGCCCCAGAGCATCCAACATAGGGACACTCCAGGGCAAATTAAAATGGAATCCTAAACTGGGACCCTAAAATAGTTGCCCTAGAGTGTTGTGTGCTTATGCCAGGCCTACATTCTTCTACCTGGCTCAAACACAGCCCTGGGAGCTACGTGAATTACACATTTTGTCACACACACCTGATGAAACCAGTAGATGCCGAGCGCAAGGATTGTTCCCGCCTTCAAGGATTTATATATCCAAGCATCCGTTTAAAATTTGGGAGTCGCATTAGTGTCTGAGTGATTTCATGGGCTTCCTTAGACAGGTATGTAATTCAAGCTCAGACACGGTTAATTCATAACGGGGTAATTTACATTCTTGTTTTTGAAAACACAGACGCACAGGGCAGATTAAATGATTTAGGGACCAAAGAAAAGATTCCCTTTGACACTGGGAGGGGACAGCAAACTTGGCGGCATGAGTTGCAAGGCATAGCCAGGCAATCACAATTCACTTGGCAGAGCAAGGTAAACAGAGATGAACCAACCCTTCTCAACTCCATCACATTAAAAGGGCTTTTTGAAATAAATTACGCATAGGCTATCAAGGTTAGGCAGGGATGAGGACCTAAAATCCTGCTCAGCCTCAGACCTTGAGAAATTATTAGCTCCAATAGCTTATACAGTGGTACCTCAGGTTAAGTACTTAATTCGTTCCAGAAGTCCGTACTTAACCTGAAACTGTTCTTAACCTGAAGCACCACTTTAGCTAATGGGGCCTCCCACTGCCGCCGCACTGCTGGAGCCCGATTTCTGTTCTCATCCTGAAGCAAAGTTCTTAACCTGAAGCACTATTTCTGGGTTAGCGGAGTCTGTAACCTGAAGCATATGTAACCTGAAGTGTATGTAATCTGAGGTACCACTGTATTTAATAAAAACACAACATGGGCCTTCATAAGTATATAAGCAAACCAAACACAATAGTAATAGTATTAGTATTCATAGAATCATAGAATCATAGAGTTGGAAGAGACCACAAGGGCCATCGAGTCCAACCCCCTGCCAAGCGGGAAACACCATCAGAGCACTCCTGACATATGGTTGTCAAGCCTCTGCTTAAAGACCTCCAAAGAAGGAGACTCCACCACACTCCTGGGCAGCAAATTCCACTGTCGAACAGCTCTTACTGTCAGGAAGTTCTTCCTAATGTTTAGGTGGAATCTTCTTTCTTGTAGTTTGGATCCATTGCTCCGTGTCCGCTTCTCTGGAGCAGCAGAAAACAACCTTTCTCCCTCCTCTATGTGACATCCTATTTTTCATCCTATCAATATGTGACATCATATTGATGATGATGATGTTTGTATCCCGGCCATCTTGACTGGGTTGCCCCAGCCACTCTGTATGGCTTACAACAAATGTAATAAATAAAACATGAAAGATCCAAAACGTCCCTATATAGGGCTGCCTTCAGATGCCTTCTAAAAGTTCTATAGTTTT